TAGAAAGCAATATAATCAAAAAAATGTATCACAATTATGCATGCAATCTATAAGAAAGAGGAAAATAAATCACAAGACACTAGAAAAGAAAATAAGTAATTAAAATTTAAAATGATGAGAAAGCTCAACAAGAGAAAAAAGAAATTTAAGTCAAAATTTATACTATTTCCCTTCAAATATTTCTCTACCCCTTAAATGACATTTATGACTTTAAAAAAGTCTCAGTTTTCTTAATATTTACTTTCACACTACAATAACAATAATAAATATTTCATCGCACAAGAAGATATTTTGTCTAAAATTAATTTTATATTAAATTTGAATTATTTAGCTATCTCTGAAAAGATTGAATTAATGATAAGCAGTCCTTCTATTGTATAATTTTTAAAAATTAAAGCTCACATAGGTTACTGTCTCCAGAATTATTTTAAGGAAACAACGAACCAGAGTCCTATTCCATTAAAAGGCAATGCGATGTGACAGTTGTGTAGTGTCCCACCCAATCCACACTTGCTCCAGCATCATCTACTCGCCTCTACTTTAATTTAGCCGAAACCAATGAATTTTAAATCGAAGTAATACATGCATCCATTCACTTCTCGTCCAATCAAAACTGAGTTACTTGTCAACAGAGACGTACACTTACAAGTGTGAAACCATTTGACCATGTTATATTTTAATTTGCAGAGACAAAAATGACAAGCAATTTATTTACAGAAAACTGTACAAAAGCAAATTAAATTATGTAAAGTACTTCATAAATAGTTGGACGAGTGTTTAATACAGTTCGCCATGTTTAGCATAGTTGCGTGCATAGTGACTCATAATAAACGATGATAAATTGTTCTCTGCTTTACTATCAACATCCAAGAAGCAGAACAATAGTCAATGATTCACATTACAAACAGATCGTAGGAAAAGTTGTCCGAAAGTAAGCCCCAGGGAGCAGAAAAAAAGATGCCTTTCTTCAGCTGTTATCGATAACCCCTCTACCCTGGTCAGAATTAACATGCGTGGCTACATTCATGATCTTCTTTACTCAGTTTTTTTTCCCCTTAAGAACATATTGCATATTTATCACTGATCAAAGAGACCTAAAACTACTCACTGAGCTCTTCAGACTGCTATTGACTCTTTTAGAATGGCTGTATCCTTCTTGGCAGTTTTCTTCTGCTCAGAATGTTTTCTTTTCCTTTTCCATAACTTCCTAGAGTAGTCTTTCAGTCAGTCATCCTCAGTACCATTTTAGTTTCCTCCCTCCCATAAAACTAAGGCCTCCCTTGTTTTTGAAACTCAGGCAGCAGGCCAGTCAGAAACTATACAGAAATGATATCTGGAGGTGCAGTATGAGCATTAGATTTTGACGGAAGCTACACACTTTTTAATACACATAAATTTATATACTTACTCATTAATTTATAAATGTGTCCTAATGTATAATGCATGCAAAGTTCACTTGAGATTCTTGTGTACAGAAAACAAGTATGGTTTATATACTTTACAACCAAAACAAAACAGCAGCTAAAAGAAAAACAACAACAACAGCAAAAGAAAGAATAGAAATTCGAAATCAACATTTTACCTTGCAAAATAGACTGATTTGACCCCTGATAGTGTCTCTCTCTTACTATTACAATAAATGGTTTAGCCTCCCAGTCAGCTTGAAGCAGCCCATTTTAATGTCTTAATTTTGTTTTATGAATGAACAATACTTAAGACTGGTCCATTATCTGAGTTTGTCAGAAGGCAAATTTTTAATATATTATTTATTATTTTCAGAAAATAAGCATGGATAAATATACAGGATCAAAAAGTTGGGAATAGCCCATTTCCCCTCATTGTCCCATCCCAACAACAGTTTTTTACCATGACAACAGGTATAAAAGGCACAGTTGCTTATTTTGCATTCACTCATTTATTAATTTTTTTGTTTCTTTTTATGAATTTTTTTTCAAAAGCACTCTATATATGGAGTGGCTCCAGATTTAACCTATTCAAAATAAAAGTCATACAAACACAAAATATATTTCTGTGTCATGCCAGCTCATTATATAATAAACATGTTGTTGTAGTTGCTATTAGGAGCGATTGAGTCAGTTCTGACTCACAGCGACCCTATGGAAAACAGAAGGAAACACTGCCTGGCCCTGAGCCAGCCTCGCAATCACTGCAATGTTTGAGCCCATTGTTGCAGCCACTGTCTGCTCCTCTCACTGAGGATGTTCTTTACGCTGACCCTCTTATCAAGCCTGACATCTTCCTCTAGGGTCTGGTCCCTCCTGATAGCATATCCAAAGTACAGGAGAAAAAGTCTTGCCGTCCTCACTTCTGACTATAATTCTTCTAAAGCAATTTGTTCATTCTTCAGGCAGTCCCTGGTATAGTCAGTATTTTTTTCCAACACCATAAATCAAAGGCATCAATTCTTCCTCAGTCTTCCATATTTATTTCCAGCTTCTGCATGTGTATGAAGTGATTAAAAATACCATGGCGTGGGTCAGGCACAACTTAGTCCCTAAAGTGACGTCTTTGTTTTTGCACCCTTTAAAGAGGTCTGTGCAGTAGATTTGCCCAAAGCAGTGTGTCACTTTATTTCTTGACTGCTGCTTCCATGAGCGTTGATTGTGGATCCAAGTAAAATTAAATGAAATCCTCGACCACATCAATGTTTTCTTTGTTTCGCATGATGGTCCAGTTGTGAGGATTTCTGTTTTCCGTATGTTAAGGTGTAATCCACACGAAGGCTGTAGTCTTTGATCTTCATCAGTAAGTGCTTCAAGTTCTTGAATACGTTATGGTAGCTAATCCTACGTGTTATGAAAGCTAATTCTACTAGAATTACTGAGAATACTTACAGTACACAGAATTTTATTCTTTCACACCCATTTTAGTTCTAAAGGGAGGCTCACAAGTTAAATGACAATGGCATGAATATCTTGAAGGTGGTGGGTGATTGTTGTTGCGATCAATCCAAAGATCCATTGTGACCTGTATTAGCTTTATAGAGAACATAAGCGTTTAAAGGTAGAGTGAATTTAGCAACACAATGGTTTCAAGTGTCTCATGAAAACAAAAAGAATTAAAAAGAAGTTTTTTGAACATTTGTGTTATGCCATTAATTATTTCCTTTGTAACGTGCAAGAAAATAGGTATATATTTCATAAGTATCTTTAGAAATATTTTGTCTTCATAGGTATGTAAAGATTATACAAGGCAGGTCTGCTTTAATGCAGTTTCCTAACAAAGTACTAGAATTTCATTTTTCCATAGTGTAAATAATAATCAAACATAAACATGTTCAATTATTAATATTTTAGTTCAGTGTTTTTGTTTCAATTACTTATCTTTCTCCATCCTAACTATTATACATAAACTAACACTAAAGCAAAAACCCCATTATAAGAAAGAGCAGAAGGAAATTATCCCCCAAATGTAGCCCACTAAAAAGAAGTGATTTTTTAAAAGTATGCAATTTGATGACCTGCAGCGAATGATCAGTCTATTATTCCAAGCTGCTTCACATTGTAGTCCACCAAAGTCTGCAAAACCAGAACCTATCCAAAGCTATATTACTTCTAGATGCTAGAGAGCCATCAAGGCCCTGCCTTAATCAGTTCATAATAGAGTGATGGGAATGTTGGCGCTGTTTGGCTATTATTCCTTATTCTGTGTATGAATTGTCACAGCCATCTGAGCTTCACGTTGAATTTCCAAATGTCCCAACTCCTCTTTACAGAGCAAGCGGTTCAACATCTGCATATTCTGCTTCTTTTTATTACATTGACACAGCTGCAGGCTTTCAAACTTTAAGATGTGCCGACTGTGAGAAATGTCAATGCCCAGAACTCATTTCTCTCATATTCAGTCTAGATTTGCTTTAAGTCATATATTAAATAATAGTTAAATCACATTAGTAGCAAATTCAATTATGGTGTCACTTCATCACAATATTGTGTCTCAAAGTAGTTTTATATTGCACAGGATTAAAGATTAATGCACTTGTGTTGTATGAAAGTGTTCACTGAACACGTAAAATTGTCATTGTAATTTGAAATGTGGATGTTAAGACCAGCAAACATACCTTGGATTCTAAAATCATAATAGCAAACTCATAAGGTCGTTATGCCAATGAATCTTTCTTTACTCACTACCCACATATATAATTTCAAAAAAGTGGAATCTTCCCTGATAATAGTACCTGAAACTGAACTTGAATCTCTAATTTGTCTATGACTATAATACCAAAAAATATGTCTCATTAGTTTTTCCTTTTCCAAGCTTTCAAATAAAATCAATTTAAAAAGAAACATGTCCTTTAGGGGGACAGAGACTATGTAAAAGAACACATTTTTTAATGTTTCTGAGTGTGCATGGGTTCAGTTGTTTTTATTGTTTAATGGATTTCCATATCAAGATCAAATCTACTTCATGATTTCCCTGATCCATGGCATGATCTTTGGCCTTTTAATGACACAATTGTTCCAGTTAGTTGATAATATTGATCCTGTTTGGGAATAAAAAAGAATCATTTTTATAATTCATACATGGTGTAGTTGATTCATGTGAAAAAGGTTGTGTGCCTATTGAGAATACTGAGAGAATGAATGGAATTAAAGTTGTTTATCCTACTTAAAAATAACATATGCTAAGTTGGAAATGCAATGTCCAACTGCGTATTGTTTCGCTATCATTCTTTGTGAGAATTTTAAAGCTGTGATCATCCCAAAATGCTTCTGAATGGAGTCCACCTTTCTAAGGGCTGTCCCTTTACAGGGACACTGTCATTGCCAAAGGCTTGCCATTGAAGATCAACCAGGTCAAGACGGTATGTCTGACATTTCTTTGACCTGACCTGTTATTGTTGAGTAGCCGGATGACACTCGAACAAAATCAAAGTGACTAAAACCATGCTTCTGCTTAAGGATCATGAGAGTGTGAGCTGTTCTGCTAATCAGGCTTGTTACCACGAAAGAAACTTGCAACCATCTTTTTTTTTTTTCTTTCCCCTCCTATTTTTGAAGGGAGCAAGGGGGCAAAGGAAGAGTGAGTGTTGGGAATCAGCGAGGGGTTCAGACATGCAATCCCAAGGACGGATTCTACAGTGTACATTAGAACCAGGCTCACAGTATCACTAAAGGCCTGATCTGGAGGCAGAAGTGGCAGGCAAAGCTTTGTCTCTTTGGTAGCCCCCTCTTTTTGATGAACCGGGTTTGCTTGGTAAGGTTCCCCCCTTCCTTATTCTCCTTCTCATACATGAAAAGAATTTTGCCGTTGCTCCTTCATAGCCTACAGGTAAACTTCTCTTCTAGTGAGCGTATTGACGGGAGATGGCTTGTATTCCCCCGTTTTGGTCAGGGGAATATCCTCAGGGTTGGCTTCCTCACTTTGACTAAAACTAGGCGCACTGAAGGTGTCATAGGACGAGGTCAGCTTTTTGTTGAGGAGGTTTCTGTTGCGGTCCCCCATGAGGGCGGCCTCGCCATTGGCCAGCCTTTCCTGACTTCCTCGTTCATCGACGGGCATGAAAGTGGAGAGTTTGGGCTGGCTTTTCTTCCGCTCCGGAGAAGTGCGCACGGGCATCCAGCAGGAGTCCGAGTGGCCGTATTCGTCACACTCGCGGGTGCACTTGCCGGTCAGGGCTACATCTGGAAGAGGCCTTGAATCTGAAACCAAAGAGAAGAAGCCAGTGAGAGTGGACCCTTCTCCCAACATATGTTCCTAGTCTGTAGGAAACTGGAGAACACAACATATACCTCCCATGCTGTCTTATGTCCCCTTTCCCAGTATTTTTCAGCGTATCATCCCTTAGAAAGGTTTCTTTTTGCTTTAATTGCATGTATATTAAAAACAAGGTTTTGCAAAAACATCAAATATTTTACAAAGAGATGATTAGAGAAAATGATTTAATCGTGTCCAAGGGGCAGGTGTGCATGAATTTGTTACAGGATGGGGGCAGGTGGATGGTTGCAAGTAGGAAGTCTACTAATGTGGAAATATATTTTTGTACATCCACAAAAATTGCTAAACCCAAACAGATAATTTTATGTGTTTATAAATTATCCCAGAAATGGTGTACTTTTGCCAGTTTGAGTCCCTCTGGCTTATTAATTATTCATGGATGCAAATCTGCAAAACCTTATTTTTAAAATATATTCAATTGGGGCGACTCAAAAGTAGAACCCACATTTTAGCAAATAATGTGGTAAGAAGTGAAAATACAAAGTATGATTATCTTTGAGTATGAATATGTCAGTAATATGTTTATTTACCCCACCTATGTCATGTCAGGTGGTCTTATATGTGGTGTGAGTGTTGACAGAGCACTACATTTGTCAATGTTTAAGTAGAATAGAAATTTTATTTTAAATGAAATGTGTATATATGTTAAGTTCCTAACCTTTTGAAGAAAAAACATATATTCCTAATTAATGGTGTTTCCTAGTGAAATGGGAAATGTCTCTTAATCCGAAAGTGCTAAATCAACTCCAGATAGTTTTTAGAGTTCAAGATTAAAGATGGCATTTAATAATTATGTGTATATGTAATTAAAATCATTATGTCTATATATCTTTAGAGAATGACTATGTACTTGCTCAGTGTTAAAAATAAATCCTTTTCACCTTCTTCAGACATATTTGGGAGGGAAAATCAAAAACCTGTTTTGCCTCACCAGATTCCAAGAGAACAATTTCTAAGGTTCTATTTAATCTATTTAATAGCTTATATTATTGCCAAACAAAAAAAATTAGATGGCTCTGCTCTACTTTATATTACACTGTATCATTTTATAACAACGTTTTGGATTTAGAGAACAACATATTTTGACCTCTATATATATCCATAAAGGACATAAATGAGATTTTTATTTACATAATATTTGGTAGATTCTCTTTAAAATAAAAATAATTATATTTTTATTTGCAAGATATTTAAGTTTTACCCTCTGTTTTATTATACACACACACAACCCGCACACACACACACACACACAATTTAACATTATATTCCTACTTTGGCCTTGGCTATCATTTGAATAGAATGCTTTATAAACTTTTCTTAGCTAATCTCCTGAATCAAGTCACTCCAATAATTCACTTTATTTTTTTTTTCAATGATGGTATTTTCAAATGTCCATATGCATGTAAAAGTTGGACATTTATAAAGGAAGACCAAAGAAAAGTCCATGGCTTTGAACTATGGTGTTGGTGAAAAATATTGGCAATGACGCAGACTGCCAAAAGAACCAACAGCTCTGTCTTGGAAGAAATACAGCCAGAGTATCCCTTAGAAGCAAGGATGTTAGACTTAGTTTCACACACTTTGGACATGGTATCACGGGAGATCCTTCCCTGCACAAGGACACCATGCTTAGTAGAATGGAGAATCGGCACAAAGGAGAAAGGCCCTTGATGAAATGGATTGACAGTGGCTACAACAATGTATTCAAACATACAAACAATCGTGAGGGTGGCGCAGAACTAGGTGATGTTTTGTGTCAGTGGTACGTAGTGTCACTAAGAGTTGGACCTGAATTGATGACACCTTACCACAAATAATAGTAACAAAAAAGTTCAGTGATTTTTGTAATCAAATTGGTGCAAATTTTTCTCAATTAAAAATGAAACTGAGTTCTTTGGAAATATTTCCCATTGTAGGTCCTTTCTTTTCTTTTTAAAAAGCATTCTAAATTGTAATCTGAAAAAGACTCCTTAAAATACAAACTATACAATAAGATCCAATTTTCAGTAAATATTTTCCATCACCCCTTTAATGAGTTCAAACTCATATTTCACTATGAAAATACCTCTCAAGAAATTTGACAATAATCAGGAATTTAGCTATAATACAAACAAACTAAAAACAGCTTGTCTTCAAGCCAATTAATACGCACTGTGGCCCTTTAAGACAGTGTAGAACACCTCCATAGGGTCTCGAAGGCTGGCAATATTTAGAGGAATAGAAAGTCTTGGCTTTCTATCTCAAAAATGACTGGTAGGATTGAACTGCTGACCTTTAGGTAAGCAGCTTAGCACTTAATCATTCCACCACCGGGACTCCATGAACTACCAGTAGAGTCTAAAACCAAGATATGCTTATCTGAGCTCCGTTTCTAACGTGCCATTAATGAGACAATCTGCCATTCATTTCCCCAATCTTATAGTCTAGGACATTCCTGGTGAAACGGACTTCTATTTATTGCTTAAGAAAAGATGACTTGTCTTCTCTGTTATTATTCATAAGAAGGCTGCCACGTCTCTATCCAGGAAGCACAGCTTTTAATAAGGATTCCCTGTCATTTCCAAAGTCAAACACTTGATTAGGGACCACAGTGGAAGCTGACAAGCTTAATTGGCTGAGACATGCTGCGGTGTTTGTCATCAAATTTAAAAAATAATCAAGAAAGGCTATAAGAGATTCATCATGAGCAATCAAAACTTCCAATTTTGATGACTCAAAAGAAACATCAATGATTAACAAATGCAATTTATATTAAGGTGTAATTTATTAACAGCAGGCATGCATGGAATAGTATTTTTCAGTGTTTATATATTCTCTTAATTATGCAAGTATATATTGTAAAATACCTAGAACACAAAAACTACACACAATATTCATTGACAAAGTCATCTGGCACGACTAAGACTTCTTGAAAAATGTTGTTGTTAGATGCTGTGGAACTAGTTCTGACTCGTGGCAACCTATGAATAACAGAATGAAACAGTGGTCCTCCACCTTCCGAATGCCGAGACCCTTTCATACAGTTCCTCAGGTTGGGGTGACCCCCAACCATAACATTATTCTCATTACTACTTCATCATTGCTACTATTATGAATCAGCAGCCACTGTGAAACGGTCATTTGACCCCCAAAGGGGTCACGACTCACAGGTTAAGAACTGCTGGGATAAAATATTGTCCAGTCTTGTGCCATCCTCATAATCATCTATGTTTGAGTCATTATTGCAGCCACTCTGTCACTCTTTCTCACTGAGGGTCTTCCCCAATTTCACTGGCCTGTATTTTAGTTAGTGCTGGGCTCTTCTCTGACTATTGGTTTGGATAACATGTTCAAGTAAAGGGAGGCAAAGTCTAACCATCATCATTTCTAAGATAAACTTTTACAATATCCATAGTTGTGGGATCATAGTCATAACTTCCACCATTACTACCTTATCTTAAAAAGCATTTAGGCTGTTTGCTTTTATTTCTGTTTCTGTACTCCATCATATCAAACCTTGAAAAATTGGGTACAGAAATGGCATTAAGCAATCCTGTTCTTCTTGCCTTAGTGTTGCATTCAAAGCTTTATTTTTCACTAGTTATGCTATTTACCAGAATCATTGCATCACTTTGGAGAGCCCAAGTTCTCTCTTACATAGCACTAACTTCCCTCTCTGAAGTACATGGGTTTAAAATCATCCTAGAGGAAAATATTTCACAACAACACATAATATAATAAAGTACTTTCCTACACCTTATCCTGCGCCCCACCACCCACCCATTGTCCCTTGAACTCACTAGCAAGGAGGAGAGCTACACCCAGGTTCCAAACCTACAAGAGATGAGAGGCTGAAGAACAAGTGTTTTGACTTTCCCTTTAGCGTTGATCTCAGGATGCCATATTACTCTTCTTCAAATGTAACAGCTGAGTGATTTAGAACACAATTGCTGCCACCTAAACTTATGAGAAATGCTATAACTCAGATAGTGAGAGTGAGAAGGAGAGAAAGAGGGAGACAGAGAGGATCGGAGAGAAAAATCTGAGCAGCATAGACATAGATATCAAAAAATAATCATGAGTTTTAATATTTAATAAAATTATGGTACAAACTCCTCAACACTATAAATTAATGAAAGTAGGGGCATATTGGCTTACGAAGTCATTTCCTCTCTAAATGAAAGATAGTCCTCCTTGCTAGACACAGCCCATGGGTGGGTGGTGAGAAGATTAGGCTAGATGCTGCTTCCGTGACCTCAACCAAAAGTGACAGAGAGAATACAGTAGAATCATTAGAAATAACAAGAAGTACAGAGATTTATTGAAGCATTTAATGGTTTCAGAAGCTATCCTACACAATTCAGGAACCATTAAAGGCAGCGTTATTATAGGGCAGCACAGTAAAATCCTTAAGACTCTTGAAGAGAATGTTCCACCAGGAAAGCTTGTATTTATGCCAAGTTACATTTTCTGGCCACCCACTCTACATCACATTTTTGTCTCCAATCTAAGAAGATATGTACTTTACCATTTAATACGACATTTAGTATTAAAAGGCCTTATTACTAAAATCCACAATACTCTGCTAATTTACAACAAGAAAAAAAAGAATTGTCCACTGAAGAGGTGGACAAAGGACCTGAACAGAAGTTTCTCAAGGGCAGAAATCTAAATGGCCAATAAACATCTGAGAAAATGTTCCAGATCTGTAGCCACAAGAGAAATTAAAACAACTATGAGAGACCACCTAACACCCTCAAAGATAGGCCAATTCAAAAAATCAGAAAGTAACAAGCATTGGAGGGGCTGTGGGGAGATAGGAACACTCATCTAATGCTGATGGACCTATAGATATGTACAGCCATTATGGAAATCGATTTGGTGATATTTAAAACAGATGAAAATTGAGCTACCATATGCTCCAGCAATCTCCCTACTGGGAATA